GCAGCCCAGCTTCAAAATCATGATCACGGGCCGCAGGCAAGGCGACATTGCGAGACCCACAAGCCTCCATGCCTCCAGCAGTGATTCGTGATCGCGATCGTGATCACGGTAGTGACCAGACATCCTGGGAAAAGGATCCACCGTGCTGCAGCACATAATTGTGATCAGAAAACTAGCCCACAGGCAAGGAGACAGCCGGGACCCAGGAGCCGACTTGTCTGTGTCCGATGATCGTGATTTGAAAGCTGGGCCGCAGGCAAGGCCACATTCTGCGACCCAGAAACCGCCTTGCCTGCTACCTTGCGATCAAAATCATGATCCAAATATGGCTTGGAGCAAACGCGGCTTCTGGGTCCCGGAATGCCACCTTGCCTGTGGTCCGTGACCATGATTTGAACGGTGGACCGCAGGCAAGGTTGCCGGAGCCGGTCCATTCTTGCTGTTTTATGGGACCCGTCATTTATGGCATACTGTTCTTAATATATTTGCTCTCCTTCTTGGCACTATGTGTTTTAACCAAGGTCACCTCTCTGAGAAATGTTGTTTCCCCAGGTGGGGATTTTTCCCTGGAGTTAGGGATTAACAGGACTAAGGAAGGGAATAAATCAGTAAAACCTGTGGAGAGCTGATATAGGATTAAGCCTAGGACTGATCTGTTGGTAAAGTCACAATCAATTCCCAGCTTAGAGGGCACAGTCCTCTTAGCATAATTAAGCTTGACCTTATGAGGCTCTCTAGATCTTATCTGGGAGCTAATGGGCTGAGGGAAGTGCAGGAAGTGGTCAAAACAAGTGAAACTCACAAGAACTGTGTAACTATGGTAACCACTACCTTGTTTACCTCTCACTATAAAATAAAGGCTCAGCTTGCCTTGGGATCTCTCTCTCTCTGTGGCCTCAGCCAGGCACAGGGAAGATCCACGGAGACTAAGGAAAGCTAGAGAGTTTTGAACGCTGTCTCCGTGTAAAACATTCTTCGCCGACTCCGTCCACACCTTTGGGAATCCCTGGACCGCTGGGGCTGGACCCCAGCATTCTCTGACTGTTTTCATGAGTGAGGTGGTTTTCCTTACATTTATTTTGTACATTTCTTAGTCTTCGGTCTCAGTGTTTCTCCTTATTTGGGTGCTTATGCCCATGGCATTGGGTTGTTAATTTCAGATTTCAGTGGTTCCCGCTGGTGTGTAGGAAAGTGATGGCTTTTGTGCATTAAGAGTGAGCCCTGCAGCCCGTGCTGTAGCCATGTCAGTTCCAGGAGATTGTTGTTCTTGAGTCTTTGGCATTTCTACACATACAGGCATATCTTCTGTGAGCAAAGACAGTTTGTTTCTTCCTTCCCAACTGCACAACAACTCTTACTATTTTGATAGCTAACTTTTAATTGCCAGGATCCGATTGTTAGATCTGATGATGATCACGTCCGATTATTAGAGGAGTAAGAGCTGTTTCCAGCAGGAAGTGGATGGGGGTGGCCCAGAGGGTCAGGCAGGAGCCAGGCGGGTCAGTCACAGATGCTGCTTACCAGGCTGGGAAGGGAGTGGCTGCGCTGGGAGGCGGGCATGGAGGCGTTGGGGTGGAGGATATCCTGTCGTGACTGCTGGTGGGGAGCTCCGGAGAGACAGACCTACAACTGTTTGTGAGCTCGCTCACCTTGGAGACTCCTGTTGGCCAGTCATTATTCCTTCAGCGTATCTGAAATGCAGGTAATATTAAATCTTATATTCAGTTAGAAACCTTTACAACCATCAATTAATATATTTCTCTGCATGTTGGCCTTGAATAGAAATTCGAGGCAGAAATAATGCTGACAATTTTATTAACCGATGTCACCCCAGTAAATTCAATAAAAAAGAAATAATGCTGAGAAATCCATCCCATTAAAAAGAGCAATTACTGAAAAATTACCATTATCCTAGTGAAAATGGAGTGCCAGCGCACATTCCTCCCATCAATTATGACCCATTAAGTCCTAGGAAGTAATCTGGAAATGACCGGACTGCACCAGCGGTCCCATAGTCTTCTAAACTATAAGGCGTGCCCTTTGACCCCTAGTCACTCTGATGGGCTGTGTGACCTGGTGGGCGTGCTCTGAAAGACAATCTGGGGGGAAAATATAAAAAGAACATAAAATTTCCTGTGATTAATGTCAATTCTCTTAAAATTTCATGTTTTATTTCAAAATGTCTCAGAATTAACCCTCCAGAGCCAGGCTTTCTTCTCGTGGTAAGAACTTGCTCCCACTGTGACCTCATTTCCGCCTGAGCTGTTTCACTCCTGTGACGTGCCCACTGCTCACAGGGCTACGGGACCAAACTTTGCTTGAACGTGTGTGGTCTGGGCTGCCTCCGTGTCACACGCCCTCCATTAAGCCCGCATCTCCAGCTGCCACAGAACTTGTTGAAAAGCCTGGGGTATCTGGGGGTGGGGGGGCGGGGTGGGGGAGAGAACCGTGAAGAGAGGGAGCCTGCCCTGGACATGAAGGCACCCATGGGGATAGCAGTGGGGATGCCCAGCCTGACAGAATGGATGTGGGGACCTGTCCACTGAACACTCGTAACAGTCGATAACTTTCATCCTGTCACTGACTTGTCATAACTTCGCATCATTGTCATCATTATGGCCCAGCATGTGTCTCTGCCTGTGAACGGAACCGTGACCTCCTTGGTTCATAGGTCAATGCTCAACCACTGAGCCACGCCAGCTGGGCAACATAGATGAACATTAAATACATATGACTAATGAAAGACAAACTTGAGAAGGTGGCATATTGTGATTCCAACTACCGTATTTGCCGGCGTATAAGACAACTGGGCGTATAAGACGACCCCCTAACATTTCCACTCAAAATACAGAGTTTGTTATATACTCGCCGTATAAGACTACCCCCTCTTCCGCACACCTTCCACACACCAAATAAAAGGTAAAACAATATCAGATTTGATTTTAACATTTTAATTTATATTCAAATGCTTATGACATGCAGGAAAACTGTCACAAGGCTGTATGTAATCAAACATATACATAAAACAGTGCAAGTTTATTACCGGTAAACATACCGGTAATTCACTAAAGAAAACACACTCTATAGACTGGTACCGTAGATGCTTCTCAGGAACACAGGCAAGCAGCCCACAACCTAGAGGGACTGTCAATGATAGAAGAAAGAT